CCCCAAAACCCCAAAACCCCAAAACCCCATAAAAGGTTATAAAGATTGTTAAATTTAATCAGTCAAAATTAAGAAATGAATGACAAAGATAAAAGAAGTCCTAAGAAGATTATTAAGACTAAGATCAGGTTGATCAGCTCCATCAATATGCATATAACAAAGGTTCTTACAGTTGCTTACATGAATTTAGACAATATATGCTCCACTCATATCTCACCACAAAAGGATTATCCATAATTCAAATTAACAGTTTAAACAAGACTTTGAGCCAAAACATCTAGACAAAACTCTAAGTGTCTAAAACAATTTCAGTACTTAATAATCTAACACTCATTCACATTGCCCCAAAATAATTCATGGTACAAGATTTACTAAATTCTACCAAAACCAGACTTCCAAATGATGAAGGATAAACTTCTGAGAACAAGCTAAGAATAATGTTTGATATCTTTTTAGCCATAATCCATTCTCTATTAAGTCTATAGCGGTCTATAACTGGCAAGCAAACCTTAAATAAATCTTTGAATTTGTCTTTCTAAAAGGATCTCCATGTCATCTGAAAGTATTAGTTTAAGTACTATTACTACAAAACCTTTGCTATTGTTTGCTAAATCATAATTCATTTCATCTTACTCTTTGCATAATGAAAATGTACTAGCCTGAATTCAGAAAATGTCTTATTTATATTCCTAAAACGAGTCTTGAAGAGAGGCAAGAAGGGAAAGGTACTAAAAAGAATCGGACATTAATCAAGGTATTTACACTGCTAAAAGAACAAAATATATGCTCCTTTCTCCCAAGGAATTGAGGCAGAGAAGATTCGAATTCAGATTAAAACAAAACATGTATAGAATTTCCTATGTCTGCATACTCCAAGTCGGTTATGTCTGAGAGTAAGTATCTGCTAAGTTTGGTGGGCATACTCTACCTTTATTGTATCCTGACTCTTGTAAAGATTTTTTACAGATAGAGAAACTCAAATAAAAGAGTTATTATCATTTGATTGAGATCACCAAAGAGATAGAGCAAGCAATTGGTCTAATACTTTAAGAAAAGGATAAAATATAAATTAACATTTAAAATAACAACATTGAGCAGAACAGGTTAATTTTTTAAGATAATGTCTGTAGGTAGAAGGAAAGTTAAAAACGCTAAAAATGCTAAGCTGATCTTACTTCGATATTTGGGAAACCCATAACTGTAGCCCGAAGCAAAGCAGCTTCTGGCTACTAAAAGTTACTAGAGATTGATAAGAAAAGGAGTTGTATATGGTGACTGGACACAGAATGAAGAAATAATGGAGAGAAATAAATGAAAGCTCGAGAAAGTTCAAAGAATTTTCATAATATTTGTCTATGAATTTTTAAATTGATAATTTTATGAGCTCGAATCTTTGGTAACCTTCTAATTAAAAAGTTTATAATAACAGTAGGATTAGTTGAGAAGACGCGAATTTATAGAACAAACTATGGCTTCTGTCTCCATCTATTTGATTTAAAAGTCCTGAAATGCTTTTAAAGACACCAGAGTTTTTCAAGATTTAATTTCAGTCTAATAACATTCGACTGCTAACAATTTCCTTAGAACTTTAGAAAATTACAATTTTTTAATTAGCTTGAGAGATTTATTCTTCTAGGAAATATTCGTTATAATCCTGGTCCCTGAAATGGAAAGTCTCTAAGCACTTGACACATTATCACCAATTAATACTGAATGAAACCTCTAAAGATTACTCTAAATTTCAAAACAAATCCCTAATTCCATCAATGAGAGGCGAATATTTCTGAGATGGACAAAAGCTACTATTTAAATATCTCACAAAGCTAAACATTTCATTTCCTTCTAAATACAGTGCAAATTATATTTCAGGGTTGAGGTACATTATAAAAAATAATTTGAATTTTATGTTCGACCAAAGATTTTCTTGACATGAACTCAACTATTAAAATCGACATAGGCCTTCTGAAGCATAGAGTGGTGGAAACAAGCAATAAAAATTTCTAAATGCTTAGAGATACACCTCAGTTTTGTTCTAAACCAAAAACTCTTGAACTATCCTGACGATCGTCTTTAGATATCTATTCATCTAATATTCTAGTTCTGCAACAGCCGCCTTATAAAAGGATCTTTGATATCTATTATTTCAACTCTATTGTTTTGAAATTTCTGTATCTTCTATCATTGTTAATAGGATAATTCCGACTATCTTAAACTATTTACCTGAAAATTCAAAGCTCTTACTGATTATAATATAGAGTCTTAGGACGAACATCCTCAACCTCATCAATGGCTTAGCACCAATATCTTTGTTAGTATCTTCAAGTGCTTCTTAACTAGGGCATCTCTAGATCCGGACCATACGAACTCTCTTAAACTAATTCAAATAGCTCCAGAATTTACAATCATCTCCTGCTTGTGCTACCACAATATTTAAGCCCTAGGATAAACTACATTCAACTCTTTATCCAGGATTGATACAACTTCGTATTTTAAATATTAATATAGTTAGTCGACATTTTTAGATGTTAGGTGGGGTTTTGGGGTTTTGGGGTTTTGGGGTTTTGGGG